AATATAAAATTATATATATAATTATTGCTGCCTTTATATCAATGTATATCACAATAAAAATATTGTATTATTTGTATATCACAGTGTATAGCACATCAGACATGTGTATACCAACATAGATATCATAAGTTTATTTTTCTTCTTTGTGTATATCAAAAATTAATTTTCTTTGTCTACCAAAATATTATTTACTCCCGCAAATAATATTTTAGAACTTGCTTAAACATGCTTATATAAAAAAAATTCCCCTTTTGATCAATAGTTAATAATTATATTATTTATATATCACAGTGTATAACATAATAATAATAATGTGTATATCAAAAAATATTATTAAAATTTTGTTTTCCTTCTTTGTATAATACATTTTAGATTAAAAACTCAAGTTCAAGACGACTCCACATGTGTATCCCCTATTGTAACCCGTGTATATCTCTATGTACATTAGTGATATCTCATGTATATCCATGAAAATTTGTGTTATATATAAGATATACAAAGTGATACACACGGGCGCCCATAAACAAATTGTGTTGTATACACGATATACAAAGTGATATACACAGACATCCTAAAAACTTGTGTGTGATATACACTGATCTACACGATATACACATGTCGCAGTTGGATTTTTAGGTCTGATGTTTTTACCTGAAACCAGTCTAAAATCACTTCTAATCTTACTCAAATTTTGTATATATCCTTGTTTAGATATTTTCAACCAATTCCAATCACACCCACTCATTCAATCCAAACAAAAAAAGGAAGGGAGAAGAAAAACGAAGTTGAAATATATTTTTTCCCTCTTAGTTTTTACTAATCTTGCTCAAATTTTGTATATAGTTTCGTTTAATTATTTTCAACTAATTTCAATCACACCCACTCATTCAATCCAACCAAAAAAAGAAGAGAAAAGAAAAACAAAGTTGAAATATATTTTTTCTCTCTTAGTTTTTGCTTCTGATTTTCTCTGATGTGAGATCAACCTTACCTTTTCATCCCACTGATTTTTTTTGCATAATTTGTTGGAATTTTTTGCTAAACTGTGAGAGAAAAGAGAAGAGATAGAAGAGGAAATACAAGGAGAGAAAAGGGGTGGAAAGCCAAAATAATCGTGTAGTTTTTTTTGAGAGTGAATATAAAAGAGAGTAATTTTTTTAAGATTTGGTTATATAATGCCAATTGTTTGAGGCTATCTTTGCCAAACCTAATATAAGGCTAAAAAATTGTCAATTCCTGTTATGTGTTGTTATATGATGCCAATTTTTCTTCGTTAGGATGCCAATAACTTAAATACAATTTTTATACAATATTGTTCAACTTTCATACAATATTTAAATAAAAAAAAAATATAAACAACAGAATACAATTTTTCTAAAATTTTACTACAACTTTACTACAATTTCGTAAGTATAATGTATGTCATGTCTTCTTCTTCGAGTTTCAATCTGAAATTTAGCCAAAATCAAGTCTAATCTTCACCAAAATACTCTCAAAATTGAGATATAAACTCCAAATAATATTTTTAATTGTTTGCAACAACACCCAATCCAAACAAATAATGATTTTTGAAAATTCAAATTCGAATTCAAAGCTTCAAAACTTTTTAATGACTGTCAATGGTGGAATTGTTGCTCTCTTTTCCTTTGCTCTACATTATTGGAATTAGGGATTGAGAGATAGAGAGAGACGTAGAGAGAATTTCCAATTGTTTGCAACAATACTCAATTCAAACAAATAATGGTTTTTAAAAACCCAAATTCGAATTCATAGCTTCAAAGCTTTTTAATGACTGTCAATGGTGGAATTGCTGCTCTCTTTCCTTTGCTCTACATTATTGGAATTAGGGATTGAGAGAGAGAGAGAGAGAGAGAGAGAGAGAGAGAGAGAGAGAGAGAGAGC